AGGGAGGAAGGAAGGAAGGAAGGAGGGAAAGAAGGAAGGAAGGAAGGAAGGAAGGAAGGAAGGAAGGAAGAGATGTGGCATCATCTGGAAAACTCTAACAAAATATTGTGGTGTGGATGCCTCCATTCTGCAACAAATCATCACCATCATGTTAAGCCAGGGTGAGGCCCCCCATGCAGTCAATGCCGACTTGGCCACCAGGCCCCTTAAGGTTTCATGTGGATCCCTGCTAAAGTTTATGTGTCAAATTAAAACCAATTAACCTAATAAGGCTCCAAAGAAGCGCAAAGGCAAGTTATGCTATGGGGTGATGAATGTGGTATTGCTGGTAGATCCGTTCCCCACTACATTCAGAGGAGAGGGCTGGGGGGAACCTTTGTACCCTGGAGGTGTTGATGGACTTCCCGACTGCTGCAGAGTTATTAAATACTTACTGTAAGACGTATTCCCTGCACAGGAGTTGCAGGTACTGGGAGGCCTTTCCTCCCCCCCCACCCCATAAGGAGCTGCCTTTTCCCACCCCCAGACCTCTTCTCCTGGCCCTTGGCCCCACCAAGCAGCCCGGTTCCTGCCCTCTGGCCACGAACACAGAAGCCGACAGGCCATGGCAATGGGGCAGTGGGGTGTGCCAGGCCTGCTAGGGGTCACGGCTTGGCATGCCAGTCTCTCTCTGCCAGCCCACCACTTGAGAGTCCCCTGCACTGCAAGGAGGACAGACCTCTCCGTTCTGAAGGAAATCAACCCCGAGTGCTCCCTGGAAGGACAGATCCTGAAGCTGAGGCTCCAGTACTTTGGCCATCTAATGAGAAGAGAGGACTCCCTGGGAAAGACCCTGATGTTGGGAAAGTGTGAAGGCAAGAGGAGAAGGGGACAACAAAGGATGAGATGGCTGGACAGGGGCATTGAAGCGACCAATAAGAGTTTGACCCAACTCCGGGAGGCAGTGGAAGACAGGAGGGCCTGGCGTGCTCGGGTCCATGAAGGGTCGGGAAGAGTCAGACACGACTTAAGGATGAAACAACAACAGAGACCTAATGAAGATCAATTTTTCACTCCCTCAATCTCTAATTCAAGATGCCAAATGCTTACATTCTTGCATAGATTGTTAGGCTGGCTGGCTTGCTTGCTTTCTCACTCCCAGCAGCTCTTTAAAAGCAAAATCCAGCTTCAGCTCGTGTATAAATATTTCCCCCGGCAACTAAGAGATAAAAAGTTTCGTCTGGTCAGCCAGTCCGTTAATAATCAACTTTTTTGCGGGTTTGTTTGTTTGTTTTTCTTTTTTGGAGCGGGCCCTCCTTCCCGTCCTCGGCGGCCCTGCTCCGCTGGTTGCGTGCGCGCGCGTGTCCGCGTG